ATATCTAGAAATTTAGATTAGTCCATTGTCCTTCTCTAGAGATTTCAGTTTAACCAAATGCTGGAATTTAGAGAGATGTTACTGTGCAAGCTTCATTTTGGCTGTTTTTTTTTTTTTTTTTTTTTTTTTTTTTGGATTTTGGAGTTTTTGGATAAAGCTTTTATTATTCTGTTGTTTCCTGAAGGTTGGTTACTTAACTGTTGGTGCAGGTATTAGTGTAGCTTGGCTGACATTTTCTGATAAATATTGCAATTTGATTTGCGATATTTCTTAAAAGTGAAGCTTCAGTTCAGTATTCAATGTGTAATAGATTTAAAACACGTGACGCAGCATTACCACATGAGATACAATCAAAATATTAACTGGTCTATATTCTAATTCAGGCACGTGAACCTAAAGATATGAATTGCTTCCAATGTGTATTTATTACTTTTTTAACCCTTGTGTAAATACCTCGAGTCTTTACTTACCTGGCATATACATATTTAAAAATCAAGCCATAAGTACCTGTATCTCTGTAAACCTTTATTGAATACCTCATTCCTGAACACTTAACAATTTCTAAACAAGCTGAACTTTTCACATCGTCATCTGATGATGGTGGTCATCTGAGGATGATGGTTATATGATTTGTTGTGGACACTGTTCCCAGATTATGCAACATAATCTTTATCTGCAACAGTTTACTATAAATATAAGCTAAAGCAACTTACAATTATTGTTTTATGGTCATATATTTGCCAAAAAAAGTGCTGGGTTTTAAGTGCGTTATTTTATAGCAGCTCTCGCCCGCTTTTTTACTCTTACTAAAATAAGTGTTTCCTGAAAGTCCCATGGACAGAAGGATTAAATTAGCAGAGAACAAACATAAACAATTATGTACATAACTGGCATGCAAGTACGCATTCACCTTTATAAATACTTGCAGCAATTGATTTTTGTAAGAGTGCCAATATGTTTGTATTTTGCGTATTTGCTCTATGACAAATTATGAAGTACGAATTAGCATTTAAAGGTTAAAATGTAGCATAATTTCTTGTCACATACATACAAATGCACTTAAAATAAGTACGCATTTGCACTTCTTCCAACAAACTATTGTCGCACGTATCGTCTTTATTGCTGAATGCGTACTTGTGTATCAGTTATGTGCAGTTATGAGCTCGGTCACACTAATAAACTAATAAAAATAAAAACAATTCCAGTGAGAGAAAATTAGAGATCCTGAAGCTAATGCTGCTTGGACCCCTAATAATATGACATTTTTGCAAACAATCTCTGACCATGAAATAGGTAGGTAATTCACTTATAACTCAGCAGCGGAATTAATTTTTTTTCATACCGTGAATGTAACGTTTTCCTTCGGTTCCACATGTTGGTTGTTTGTGGGCGTATCCACAGTCGCGTTGGACCACTACTTTTTGGTGAGTATAACTGGCACGTGAGGATCACAAGAATCGCTGTCACACAACGAGAATGATATGAATTCGCAAAGCCATTCTGAAGAGTTTTAAACCCCTAGTCAGATGTGTTATATAATGCATGCCCTGATTCATTGTTTCGAATCGCATTTTCGATTTGAAATCGATAAATCCTTCAGTCCTAATGTTCACATTCAATCTGTTCTTTAAATGGTCTTGTTTACCTCTCCTTTTCTTCTGATTATTTTTGGAAAACATCTTCGTTATAGTAATACCCCACTATTTCTGCATTAATATTATCTCTTGTGTTGGCACCAGGTTTCAGGATTAATTTTCCATTATTTTTTGCTGTTTTTATACCCGTCTGACATCTACATATATTCTTTGAGTCAGCATATTTACATGTATTGGGTCCAGTTACGTAGCTGCTTGTGTTGCATTCATATTAAATGAGGCTTTTGTCATTCAGCATTTGATTGTTTCACACAAGCTTTTTATTTCATGAACACAATTTGTAGCTACATCATTAAAAATTTGTTTCAGTTCTTTAAAATTGAACCTTTAAGCAATTAGTTTTGTTCATATAGTATCATACCTCATCCTTCCTACAGGTGTTCCAGTAAAAATTTTAATTAGGCTTTATCAATTCACTTAATTTCAGGTTTACTGAATTTGAATAACACCCCCCCCCCCCGTTTCCTAGGTCATTAGCTATGACCTATGGGTTAAAGTTTGTGATGCTGAACACTGCATTGTACTTTGTAATTCCTCCTAAAAAGCTAAATTAATATCAGAGTTCCATATAAGCATTCCACCAGTCCATAAATGTTTACCACATGTCCATACAAAATTGAAGCATAAACCTCTAAGGACAGAATTAATTTGACTTTTTTCCCCCCAATGAACAGTTTGTCAAAACCCAACTGAGGCACATTTCAGGAGAAATATTTTTGCAGCTAATATTATCAAGGTTTCCTTGTACAGCCTGAATACTTATGTCCTGGGTGTTGCCTGCCCTGTTCCCTGTGCTTCCTGCTATAGGCTGCAGACTGGATGTAGCCTAATCCTGCTTGGGATAAGCTGTTAAAATGGATGATCACAACACATGAGTACATTTAAAACTTATTTCCTTTTGCATTGCAATATAGTTCAGGTTAATAGATAACTTAATGAATCATTGTGTATTGGTTTGGTGCTTTGTGGTGAACTGGTATTTACTGAGGAACCGTACTCACCTTATGCTCTTCCAAGAGAAGCTTTGGCCTGCCCAGGAATAAGATGCTTTCCTCTCTTTATCATTAGCAGACTTATAAGCTAAAGTAGTTGGTCAGGAGTGTACATTCTGTCAAACCCCTTTAAACCTACCTTAACGATGACCAGAACTCAGTCAATTGATAAAATGAATGCTTAAAGTAGATATAATGTAATACAGTCAGTCTCAGAAATATGCAAGGAGAATTGTATCTATATATACAGGGAAAAGATGTTTCATTTCAGCGAGAAGAGGACATGAATCCATGGTGTTGATGCCCTTATTGATAAGGGAAATACAAGCACAGTTATCTCAGTTTAAGCTCATGACCTTTCATTGAGAGTAGCACTTTAGCATCAAACTAATATTGGGTCAGTTAAATTTTATTAGTAATTATTGCATATTAGTTAAAAAAGCAGGTCAAGCATTTTTTGTTTTATTGTAATATCAGCGGTTTTAATCATTGTCAGCTTGAATTAATCGGTGAGTTCAGGTTGCTTGTGAAATGGACCCACGATCACTGTAGAATATGTATGAATATGCATGTTACTGCTGTGACGAGGCTTTTCAATCTCTCTGATTTCTTTTATGGACTTTACAAGGGAGTAAACTAGTCAACTATCACCCATCAGTCTTTGAATTCCCTGAAAAGGTCGGGATGTTTATCCAACAGACGTTTGGTCAGGTTTGATGTGTTGCCTCCCTTTGTGAGACACTTTAAAACAGCACTTGCACGGTTTTCACTGACTTCATAGCCAAATATCTCCCTCTTCTTTGAACAGTAAAGAAGGGAACCCCTCTCTGTATTGTTGCTCTCAGCTGTTTCTCGCAACGTCACCCACCACTAATACAATGTGACTGCTGTCAGCATTGAGCTTAAAGAGAGAGATTCATTTTAGCCAGATCAAATAGCCATTCACATAGTATCATTTTTTTCACAATGCTGGTATTGTACCATTTTCAAAACTCTAGTACCGCAATTTTTTTCAGTACCGGTTTACTGTGCAACCCTACTCTGGTCCCAGTCTTTGGTTATCATGGTTTCCAGTATAGGCAATATACAGCTGTCATAATCAGTTCAACAACCCAAATAAAGTAAAATATTATATCTTAAAAGCATAGAAGATGAGTTGTTAAAGAAAAAGCCGACAAAAACACCACAGATTATTAAATCGTAGTCAATGTATTAAATCAATAGCGCAATGGGATTGTAATTGAAAGTTAAATCTTGTTTTGTAAATTATTTTTTAATTTCTTTTTTCACTTAAATATTGCCTGCTACAAGATACTAAAGGTAGAAACGGTACGAAAGAATCACTCTGGATTTCAGGCATCAATGAAAAGCTGAAATTGCAATAAGGGTGTTTAGACTAGATAGCCTCTGTATATTGCATCACATTATAAATTGTTACATCGATTATTTTTTTGTATCACGTTGGGGTGAATGCAGGGTTTCCAGGTCTTGTCTTGATTCAAACATGGTTACACTGCCATACCAACGGAAACAAAGTACCGTTCTTTTTGAGTACTGGAATTTTAAAAAGGCTTTTTATATTTATATTACATATATAGGTTATCTATCTAAGCATTGTCAGTTATAAGATAAATGTCTAGCAGTTTTTTGACCTGTTCATCTACCTACCACATTGTTGCAGAATATTAGCAAAAGTGAAATCCATGGGGGAGCTCAAGTTGAAAGTGTACAATGTTTCCATTTGGAAATGTATGATTCCGCTAGTGTTAAAGCAACTAGAAGACTTGATTCTTCCTTCTGTGTTTGGACTGAAATTTCCTCCTTAACAGGGGTTTTCTCTAGGCACAAATCATAGCGACAGTTTCTGGGCGCTACTCCGTTCAATTTCATGAATCTGCCTTATCACCATGGCAACAGACTACTTTTTACAAAGAGAACTTCATTTTCTTTAATCCGTTGCAGCTGGAGATATGAGCATTGTTATTGAACTGTTGCTATGGTTACCAGTACTGTTACAACTGCAATTTCCTGGTTCTTTTTATGTTGTTGCATGTAGTTTGCATTTGTGCTTAAATTTCTTCTCTGAAAACTTAGATGTAATAACAAAAATCAATTGAATCAAAAATGGATGTATGACCCCAGTTTGTTGGTGGCATTCTGTCTAGCTGGTATGTAATGATGCATTCTAGAATATTGAACAGCAAAAATAGCATATTTTTTCATTTACTATCTGCCTTTCTTCTGTAATGATTTAAAACATGCTTGTGATTTTCACTGATTGATCTGGTTATCTGAAGTAATTTTAGTTAAATATTTTTAATGGTTTGATTTTGATCATTAATCTCTCTTTCAGGCGACTGAACAGCACGCAAGGGGAAATCCGAGTGGGTCCCAGTCACCAAGTATGTTTCAAAGTGCTATGTTTCACTGTATATATATATATATTCAGTGTCTTATGAGTTGTCTTCACATATGTAACAGCAATTGATTCGGCTTTTTGCTACATATTTTTTACTTTTATTTTGTATATTTCTTTTAAGAATCAGACTAGCATTATTCTGACTGTCATTTGTGTTTATAATTTTGCTTATAGAAAAACTTCAAATAGTATTTAGCAACCATGGGGAATGATTATGATTGGCCAGTATCTCAGTTCCATGCTGGTCTGATACAGATTCAAGCTTGGTGTAAAGGTTTCTCTTGCAAATCAATCTTTCATATGCAAACAGATCTGTACATTTTCATATTTAGCATTTAACCATCAGCTCATTTTAGCACAATTAAATTAAATGATGTGTTTTTCTGGTGGCATTTGGTTTTGCAGCTTTTTCTTCTTGCAGGCCTTGGCTCTCGCTTGTTACACATTTTCTTATTTTAATAGCCCGTTCTTTTGCTCTGAGGCGTATGGCCAGCCTGGGGGATGCATTCCCTCCATCTCTCCTGATATCTGATTGCAGATCTGTCTCTGTCTGCAGGCCAAGCTTCCCGAGCTGCAGGCCTTCCCACCTCTGAGCAGCCAGCCTGTGACTGAGAATGAAGAGCTGGTCTGGATGCCAGGGGTCAATGACTGTGACTTGCTCATGTATTTGCGAGCAGCCAGGTGACCAAACGCACTGTACATGGCAATTTAATTTTGGTTTCCTTTGGCAATTTAATAGCACAAATATGAATATTTGTGATTAGCGCTGTTTATTTCAAAGCCTTGTGTTTTTTTTTTTTTGTTTTTTTTTTTTGACTGCTTAACACTTTCCTCGTATCCTTCTTTCAGGAGCATGGCTGCGTTTGCAGGAATGTGTGATGGAGGTTCGACAGAGGACGGATGTTTAGCTGCTTCACGCGATGATACAACACTAAATGCATTAAATACTGTAAGTAAGGACATAAGAACCTGACTTCAGTCTGCTTTGCAGTCCATATTGACACTCAAAGCCAGCAATCTTGGCATTGTATGCCATAACTTTTCTAAAGATAAAGTCCCATGAACATACTAGTGTAAAATTACACTAAACAGAAACAGAAAATTATAGTGTAAATCAAGAACAGAATCATGGTCAATTTGTACCAACACTGAACTTAAAATAGTCTTATAAAGGCACATAGGCATTGGGTCCATTGTTTGATATATAATATTTTTCAGTTTCATCAGCTCTGATAAGGATTTGGATAAATCTGAAAAACAAATGAATGCATATTTATCATACTATCTTCAGCAATACATTTTCTTTATTGGAATTGTTTGCATTTTTCATTTAATGTTGTGCAGACGGGATTAATATCATTCTTTTGAATTGTTAATTTTCTGTCAAGTTAGAATGGATGAATGCAAAGTGTGAATGGTGGTCTCACTTGATTGCACCGTTTCTTTGCAGCTACATGAATGTAACTATGATGCAGGGAAGGCCCTCCAGCGTCTGGTCAAGAAACCTGTGCCCAAGCTAATTGAAAAGTGCTGGTCTGAGGATGAGGTGGTAAGAGATACTAGTCATGCTGTTATTTTGTGAATTTGTAATAACAACTTGTAATCTTTCTCGTGTTATGCCAAAAATTACAATGCAGAATGAAACCTTCATGAACTGCTGTATAAATGCTTTTATTGACTGCTACAATAGCCATACAATGCCCACATAAGGTCTTGAGACACTTGCTTAAGTCTAAAAATGTTGCTAATTTATTGGTTTCAAACTGATACCGGATCCGAATGACATCACAACGCGATGCGGGGTATTTTGTACTGTAGTAGGACTGGACAACGTGCAACATTGCACGACATCGCATACCAACATCACATGTTACGTACATCCAATTCTTACATCAATGGTCAGTTTTTCTTACCTTCAATTTGGTACAGATATTATAGCACAAGGAGTTTAAGTCTTACTAAAACTTCACTGTTGATTAATGACACACACAACCATGTGTTTGAAGTAAATGCACTTTCGCTTTTGCTAAATAAAATATTATAGTACTGTAACGTCGCAAACACAAAGCTGTATATAAAACGAACCATCACAGCAACAACACAGGGATCCAGAAATGTAGTCAGTACACGTCTCTCTCCCCTTCAGTTTCAGTAGCACTTAAAGCTATCTCTGTAGTTCTTTAATTTTTAAAGAAAATTAACGTTATAGTTTTTAGGCTGTTGAACTATTTTCTTCCACCAATGATTAAATGTTTCTGTTTAGGTTTTGTTAATTTTGTGTTCTATGTCTGGAATTTTAAGGATCATTAGTTAGAATTAAAAGTTATAATGATGCATTGATTTAATACTGTTCTTTGTCTGGCTGGCACTACATGTGTGGTTAGAGAACATTAATCAACACCCTTTTGACTAATCAGATTTGAGATTTCGGCACTGCCCCATTATAAGAAATATAAATTGTGAATGAGCCTGCTAGAAAACCTAGATTATTTATGGTTTTTACCTTTGAAGGCAATACTTATTAACCTCTTATTCCCAGAATCTTTTTTGAAGTATCTGAAGTGCTTGTGAGAACAGGGTGATGCATGAAGATTTAATTGAATTTCCTATATTCAGGTTGAATTTCAGGCTAGTTTTATTAACCTTACATGTAGATGGATTTTTAGTGTGACACTTCACAATGGATAATTGGCTTTCTGTAATTTTTTTTCTGTTAAACAGTGATGTTAGTCTATAAAGGAACTGTTGTCCATTAAGATGCAAAACTTACACAGAAACATTAAACGTAGTTGTGTGATATAGAATTCAGAATATAAATTCATTGCTTATCTTCAGATTGCTCTTTATGAATAGTCTTCTGGATTAATAAGAATTAAATTCATATGATCTAATTAATTTACTGTTAGTTTAATTCTTTGATACAAATTACAAGGAAGCCAAGGATGCCGTCCTGCACTCTTTGAAGTCCAGATTTAATTAATTTTTTTTTTATTTTTTTGTACATGAAGATTAAATGCAAATGTGCATTTTAATGCACCTCTTCCAATTTATAATTTTTTTTTATTGCAGTTTTCTTTTTTGGTTTTGTTTACATTTGTCTAGCGATGCTGATTTTTAATAATTTCAGATTAGCTTCTTATTTGCATGTGTATGTTCTGTAGGATTTGCATGTGTATGTTCTGTATGGTATTTGATAAGTGTCTGTCCTATTTAACTGTTATGATTTATTTTTTTTTTATCCTTCCCGTCTATTCCCATATGTCACGCTTGCTAGATAAAATGGTTCTCAGATTTTTTTTTAAATGATTTTTCTTCAGGACGTCATTATCGCAGCGTTTAGGTTTTTCCCCGTTTTCCTTAATTTTCTCTGTGGTTTTCCCCATAGTGGCAGTTATGTAATAAGGATCAATGCAAAGAGCCAGTTCTGTGAAACATTTCCTGACAAAAGAACCCTGTTTCAGCCTGGCGCCTTGCAATTTGTTACTGCACTTGTGCTCCCTCTCCAGACCCTCCTCTTCTCTGTTGCCTAGCAACAGAGGGCTGGAGCTATCAAGACTGGGACAGAGTGATTCGTAGAGAAGATTGGTGGGTGATTTATTAGCTAGGCTGCGAGTCTGGTCGGCTCAAGCAGCTGAAATGGAGCCTTAAACTGTTAAACTGGAGCTGAGATAACGGAAGGCCGTAGCTGCGAAGGGCAGCAGTTATGCAGCATTGTAAGCTGCTGAGTAATGTGAATAACCCTTACTTCTATAAAGTATTGTTTTTGGTCATTATAAAAATCGTGTTCCGTTATACTCAGTTAAAGCAATATTTAAGATTGGCAGAGGAAGCTTATTATAGTGTCAAAATCTGACTAGCCGAGAAATGCAGACTGCTTTAGGCCAGCAGGCAGCCTCGTTTGATAGTCAAACCTGTTCATTTCATGCTCTGCATGCTCTTTAAATGCTCAGCATTGAAGGGCCTAATTACCTAGATTTATAGATTTCAGTCTATCAGTGTACACAGTGCTTTAAACTTGCTAAACACTGTTCAGCATGTGTTGGAGTAAATATATGTTGAAAAGCAATCCTATTGAAATTTCCAGAATATTATTTGTAAAATAAGTGATACTAGTATGGTTTTTGTATGCTTCTTTTTTTTCTTTATGGGGATGAAAATTTAAAATGGATATACATTTGGCATTTCCAAGTATAGCAGATTTTAATAGATTGAATATGGTACCTCAAAAGCACAGTTATAGCATTTTATTACTATTGCCCAAATTCACAATTCCTCTGAGCATAAAAATATTTATTAGAAAGCAAAGTACAGGACCAATCTGTTTTGCTGTCTTTCAGAATTTTGTCATTGAGATAAACATGTTACACTTGTCTCCTATTGTTTGCAGAAGTTTAAAATTTTAAATGTGGGCAGATAATTCTGCTTATAAAACTGGTTCTTATATTGCCGGTGGGGTTATTTAATATTTATTATCATTGATACCATTAATTGTGAATTGTTTAGAATTGTGATAATAAATTTCTTCTATGTACTAGAAAGCAACTAGAAACAAGTGTTTAGCAAAACTAAATTGAATTTTTTTACTGTAACAATTATGAACAAAACTGTATATGTACCTACAAATTATTTCCAAATTCGCTTCAATAAATTAGTAATGCATGCATCTGTTTTATATATAATTAATGCCGATTCCACAGAATTCAGATACATAACTAATATAGGTACATAAATCCTTACTGCACTTAAATGTGCTTCCAATTCATTTATAGTCCAGTTGAAATGAGTTGGTATATCTATGAATTAATGTTTCCCCAGCTTCTCCCAGTTTTGCAGATTGGCTTTGCCAAGGTTGACTTCAAAAGTGATAATTAGTCCAGTGTATTCTGGGTGAAATTAAGTCATAGGCTTTTAAAATAATTTCCATAATTTTTCTAAACACACGTTAGTTGGTGAGTCATTTTATGAATGAATGGTTTTGGTAGATGATTATGACAACTGTACACTATAAGATTGAATCTTAGACTAATGTGTATTTTACATAAATTTCCACTGCCTTTTTCTGTGTTTTTATTAACATCAGTCAGAATATAACTTTTTGGTCTTGTAGCATTTTGAATAGTTACATTTTCCAAATGTTATTTTTTTCTTGAATACATATGTGTTCCAGTCATTTGCTTAATTTGAACAAGCTGAATGACTATTAAATTAATCAACATGTGCAATTGCCATGTGCATTGATAGACTTTAAACTATTTGAGCTTCATTCATTTTATTAACCCAAAATGCCACCGTATTGCTTCCAGTTCTGAATAATTTATAAAGTCCAATGGTACAGGCATCCCACAGACTTACCATTGTTACAGATTATAGGTCCATGTCAGTTTTTCAGTGCAGCACTTCAATTCATAAGTTCTTGTTTTGCAAAAATTGCCCACTTCTGTGTGCAAGTTGCATGAAGTCCCTAATACTGCAGAATTGACTTTCTTCTTTCTGTTATTAGTAAGGTGTCTGGTGAACTGGCAGTTAAAAGTGGGTTTGAGAACTGTAACCGTATATTTGTGTCCTGAAAAAGAGCAGCATGCTCAGCTGTGCGGTCCTCTGCTCCACGCCAGGTTTTCAGTCTTGCCCTAGACCACAGGCTGCCTCGCAGAAGGATCACATGTAAAGCCTTCCCCTTTGTAGTGGAGGGGCAGAGAGTGACAAGCAAATTCTTGCTTGTAAAAGAAAAAAGCTGTTCACCTCTCAAGACTCTGGATTTTAACCTTGAATAAGTTTCCCTCTGCTTGGATATAAAAATTAGTGCCTTATTCTCTTTGGAGTTTACCTGTTTTTGTGGAGTTTCTTGGAGGAAACCTTTATCCAGGATTGCTGAGGGCTTGTGTCGAACAAGAAAGTAAATCTGACGAAGGTCTGGTCGGCTGTCTGTGAATGTTTTTTGCCTTTTCCGTTGCATGGGGCTATATTTTTATCTCTTAGTCTCTTAAAGGAACATAAATGTTGATTTAGATATTTCATTTGTCTTTATGTTTTGCCTTTCTGCTTTTCAAAATTCAGCTGTATATATTTATCTGTGGGGTATTACCACATTTGAGAATTTTTGTCCTGTTTTCGCTTGTACTTTTATCATATGACATGAGTTTGGCTTTTGTGTAATTTTATAAGGCTTAGTTTGTTCTGATGCCCATAAACAAAGTATATTAATTATTAACTGAAGTTGCTTTAATGATTTTTGTCACTTTTTCCTCCGTTATGGTTTTCCTGCAGATTTTCCCTTGATACAATTTCATCATATACATTGATTTTTGAGTGCGAATTTGAAGCTGCATTTTATTTTAAAGCGATGCAGTTTATATAGATAAGTTTGAATGCAATTTCATCGCTGTTAACTGTGTTTCTCCATTTCCTTTTCTTTATCAAAAAACAGAAACGGTTCATTAAAGGCCTAAGGCAGTACGGAAAGAACTTCTTCAGGATTCGGAAGGAACTGCTCCCCAACAAGGAAACGGTAAGGTCTACATTTCCAGCAGGAGTTCTGGGCTGTTTGTGCTTTACAATTTGAACGTGTTTTATGCAGCTTCCATGGAGACTTCCTGATTTTAAACAAAAAGAGAAGCGCGGCCACTATAAAGGGTCTCTGTTTTGGGCATGTTGGATAAATCATGTTGGATTAAACTGTAACCTTTGACCTGTAACAGATTTTTTTACGTTGGTGCCCTTTAAAGCTATTTCTGCCTCTCTGCAAACTTCCCGGCTGTTTTTAGTCTTCGAAACCCTTTCATTCATAGATCCACAGTGCAAATTTAGCTGAGCTTATCTCCTCTGAGCCTCTAAGGCATACACAGGGGCATTACAGTCATTTCACTGACAAGAATGTTAACTATCTTTTTTTTTTTGCCTTAATGTGAGTCTTTAGTGTAACCTTGCCTGTATTTTTGATACTTTGTACTTTTCGACTGTTAGGATGTATCCGGTAAAGTCTAGAAAGACCCACATGTGTAAACAGATTGTCAGTGCTTGTTTCCTCAACATTAAGTAAACCTCATTCTGATTATAACAAATGTTATTTGAATGGATTTGTTGGATACTAGGGTTTCTTTTCTTTTTTTTGCTGACTTCTGAAAATGCATCTTAGACTCGTCAGCTGCCTGCAGGTCCCCAGCCCTGGGAGAGTTTCCACTTTTCCATTCTGTAGTAACTCGATTCCAGAGCACAGTGCGCACAGAGCATTTGAGGGTGGGAGATATTTCTCCGAGACCTGGCCTTTTGTTTTCAGGTGTCTTTCTTGTTTCCAGTATTGCTGTTTAAGTAGATGAAACCAAAATTTAAGCCGTGAATTAGGAATAACAATATCTTTAAATTTTATTACCTGATGGTAAGTTTAATTTTAAATGCATCATAGTGAGCTTGACCTTTGAAAATCTGCATCAGACTGAATGTAACATTGGTAGCATTAGTTATGGATTTTATATGAAAATAATATTGTACAATGTTTATTTCATTGTTATAACTCTTATATGTTATGATATGTTATCAGTACCTTCTGCAATCTCAACGTTATCTTGGATGAAAGTAACAAAATATGTAAACTGCCCATGATGTGGATGTATTTTAAAAATCCTATATAATTCCTGGGGTTATTTATCAATTGAATTCTTGTGAATCCCTTATTTTAAGGTTGCCACGCAGCCTAGCCTTTCGGCCAAAAAGTTCATTACCTGGGAATTCTTAATTAAATGGAAAATGAGGTTTAATTATATGTTGATTTTCAAGTTCTGTATAGAAGAGATGGATTGTTTCTCTGTCAGTGGTTTTTAAGTGCAGCTATTGTCACATTTTTCTGGTTGAGTAGGTTTAACACTCCAAACAAAACTTGTTTTCACTGCACATTACTGCACATTACTTTTAATGCTGAAATAACCATCCTTTAGGGCATATCATAAGTTGAGCTTTATTATTATTATTATTATTATTATTATTATTATTATTTGAGTACAGGCACAGGAAACCCTTTTGGTTTTATGAGGAGACTAGAGGGGACAGAAATAAATGGATAATTGTTAAAAATTAGCCTCTTGCTTCACAAATCTATCAGCTCAGCTATCTTAGTAACACAGAGCTCATTATGATTTTCTGCCTGATATTGAATTATAAATAGAAAGAAACGTCTTCAGCTCTGGTCATCGGGTGGCTTTTAAATATACGTAATTGTAATTGGTTTATTATATTGTTACATCATACAGACAGTGTGGTTTTTCATTTGTTGCATGAATCAGTGCCTGTAAATGACCCGAAGCATGTGATTATGCATGGACATATGTGTCTGCTGAGGCCTGACATCCCATTCAGGCTGACCCCAGCATGTGCTGTGCTTCCTGGAGATTTACAGCCTGTATTAGGTAAAGGATTTGGAAAACAAACTTTTGGCCAAAATTAACCTGTTAAACTTTTAAAAGATTTCTAGATTGTAACTTGTAAGATTCGACATCGACCTAAATTCATTTTTTAACAACCCAGTCTAATATTATTATTAACTGAAGCGAAATCTACATTACAGGAGTTCCCCAAAAATTTAGCTGGTTACCTTGACTCGCTAGACTTAGTTTTGATGACTGCTTATTCATTTGGTCTTACCCTTTGATCAGTTTATAGGGCGATAGAGGGACGATACCAAAATTAAAATTTAATAGCAATATCCCAGACGATGGGATCCTGGACGAGCCCACAATTTCTGTTACGAGCCCCAGTCTAGGGTTGGGGCGTAACAGCATGGAAGGGAAAGGGGAATGGGAATAAGGGAAACACAGGGTGTGGTGCACAAGGGAGCACACGTGGACAAAGGGGTGTATTTTTGTATTTTTCTGATTTTATTCACACGCGACAGACACAGAACAAATAAACCCGGTGCAAAAGGACTCGGGAATGATTATAGCCAAAATAACAAACAGAAAGCTCAACTACCGAACGCAACCCAAGACTAACTTAACTGTGTGCTAGAGAAATCAAAGAACAAAATCAACAAGTACTACACCTCACTCCCTACCCAAACAGCATACGCAAAAACCCCCAAAATAAATATCACAACCACTCCCTTCGCACCTAACAAACACACAGAACATACACAGGGCAAAACGTCAGAATTCAAGGGCCGTGTGAAGACGTAAACCAAAAAGCAAACAAACCAGTACAGAAAAGGGCAAAGCGAATAATCGTAAACCAATAAACTGAAACCGTCATACACAATAATCCAATCAAAGAAAGCAAACCAACAATAATCCAAATATGAGCAGAGCTCCCGAAGTTTCTTGCTGTCCGGCTTTTCACCTTGGCCGGATGGAAGTGACGGACGGTCTTGCGGGGAGTCGTGGGCGGGGTCCGGACGGGGAGGCGGAGCAAGGGCCGAACGGAGCGGACCTGCAGTGGGCGGAGCTGGATAAAGAGCAGCGCGTAACAACTAATACTCGAGTAAATCCATGTCTGATATTAATAATTTTGTTGGTCAGTAATTCATTGTGACCTGATTCCTGTAGTTTTGTCCAAACTAGTTGTCCTGCTATCATGCACTAACATATAATATGGCAATATTTATCAAATGTTTTAGTGCCGTGTTTTTGTTAGTTCTCCTGTGTTTCATAGAACTTCAACTTTATACAAATTCAACTTATAACCTTGTGACCTGTGGATTTTTTTTACTTTGCGTAGCTTATAACGTCATAGATGTTTCCAGTGCAAAAAAGATAGTGCAGTCAATCTTCATGGAACCCTAAAGTTGTTTGCAGGGGACCTGGAGCCTTTCCCAGACAACACAAGAGGTTCACTCTGGATGGTATGCCAGCCCACTGCAGTAATATACACTCGCTGAGTCTATGGGCATTTTAGAGATTCCACTTAGCCTATCTGTGTGTCTATGGGCTATAAGACAAACGTGCAAACTCCCCACACCCAGTGAATGCTACCCACTGAGCCACCACGCCACCCAAACACTGAACAGTCTGCTTCAGCCACATCTGGATCTAGATCCTAAGTACAATGTGTAGGTTGAACTGAAATAGCAGCTTTCAGTCTGCTAACCACGCCAGGGAGAAGCCCTGGCTAACAACAGGATTAAGTTTATTTCCGTTTTTCCCTGCCTCATGCGGGAGGGGAATCTGAATAGCGGAATTATGAAGGACAAGATGAGGGAGAAGTGGCAGGATGAGGCACAGAAAGAGCCCTTTGCTGTTCTGTATGGAGCAAAAAGAATCCTAACACTTTCCACATGCTGGGCTCATGACCTCTGGAGTGGCTGCCCTCCCTTGGCTGGAGTTCCTGCAAGACATCCTGGGCCCAGGCCTTGATAGGAGCATCATGGTAATGGATCCCCTGGGCTGACAGCCAGGCCTGCTCTGGCCATCCCTCCCCTGGCAGCCAGGCCTGCTCTGCCTGCTCTGGCCATCTCTCCCCTGGCAGCCAGGCCTGCTCTGCCTGCTCTGGCCATCCTTCCCCTGGCAGCCAGGCCTGCTCTGCCTGCTCTGGCCATCCCTCCCCTGGCAGCCAGGCCTGCTCTGCCTGCTCTTGCCACCCCTGCCCTGGTAGCCAGGCCTGCCCTGGCCATCCTTCCCGTGGCAGCCAGGCCTGCTCTGCCTACTCTGGCCATCCCTCCCCTGGCAGCCAGGCCTGCTCTGGCCATCCCTGCCCTGATTAGCTTTGTTTCCAGTGCTGCTCTCGGCCTCCACGAGGGGCTGTGCCAAGTGTAAGTTCCCACTGCTGTGTAAACACACCAGGGCTGACTGGCTCACAGGAATGCCTTTATATAAAAGTGAAATGGGGTGGGGAGGGGGTTAAGGCTCCACTGATTTCCTGTATTTTGCAATTTTGACAAATTCAAACCAGTCCCCCAGTGTAGAGCCTAGCCTTTTCTCACCAAGTCAGCTTTGTAATGCCTGTAATAATCTGTTTTGAACTATAATCTTTTTGTGTTCGATATCCTAAATATTTGTTACAGTGCAGGAGCTATTGCCTGATGAACAAAGTTTATGATTCGGTATAGGGCAGTTATGGTTTAAAGTCAGGGTATTTGGCTGCTTTCTCTGTGCCTCCTTAAAAATAGTCCTTCCGAGGCTAAGATGTAGGGGTCTGCTCCAGCTGCAGACATCTTAGGAAAAAATTCTCTTTGTTGAACTGCTGTTGCAGTGAGGAAGGGAGATGCAGCTGAAGGAGAGCGTGTCCGAAACGCAGTGGGGCCGAGGCAATCGCAGCTACAGCTTGATGTTGTTTCTTAGTGAAACATCTTCAGATTGCAAATCCGAGACGCGTTTGAGAGGCTGGGCCGTCTGCCTGCCTCAGGCCCTGTCATTTTCTTGGCTGAAATGGCAGAGATTATAGCATTTTCCGAACAACCATGTAACAGATGTTTGCCTGAGTACAAGCTGTACAAACGTCAAATATAATTCATGGCTGCCTCCCCGTTCCTGTAGCCAGCACCCTGAAGCAGCCTGTGCTTATAAATATTTTGTTTCAGTCATTAAT